CACCAATATATATATGTATAAATGGGAAACATCACTTGTAGTACAATAACTGAATATATATATATATGTATAATAGGGAAATATCACTTCTAGTACAATAACTGAATATATATATATAGATATGTATAATAGGGAAACATCACTTGTAGTACAATAACTGAATATATATATGTATAATAGGGAAATATCACTTGTAGTACAATAACTGAATATATATGTATCTGTTTAAGTGGTAAGCTATACCAAAAACATCATCAATATATCTACAGTATAAGACAGGGAGGGTACCTGTGTAGTTCTGAAATATGCAATCTTCAATGTACCCAACAAACAGGTTAGCATGGGAGGGACCTATTTTGGTTCTCATGGCTACACCCTTCACTTGTTTATAGAATCTGGTGTCAAAAGAATAGGCATTTAATGATAAAACTAATTCAACTAATCTAATTAGGGTTTCAGTAGGTGGATCTAGGGTATCCCTTCTGTCAAGGTAGTGTTTTAGGGCCTTCAGTCCATCTTCATGTGGAATGGACAGTTTGATGATATTCATCAAGAGGGTCATTATCACAGATAGCATAAGACGATTGGTTGTTGGTGAGATAAAGTTCTTTTTTCCAAATAACCACTGCTCCTCCTTTGTTTAATTACAAATGTCCGAACTTAGCTTTCGAGAAATTGCTTACCTTAAATCATATCAGTAATTATAACACCAACATTGTAGAGAGTTCAAAACATCCAATTACATGCGTCCAACTTCCCTTCAGCCAATGCACTCTTACTTCCTGTGATTATCAACACATTCCCCTTACACTCACATTTTACTCATTCAACACACAAATAACACGTATATTGTTTGACAACTTCCACATCATAACACAGAACAATACCATTGGTTACATGTTCCATAACAAACCTCTAATTTCTTATAAACAAGACACAAACATTAAAGATTTACTCATCCATAGTCAACTTCCGAACGACATACAACTATCATCTGCTACTGAAGTTGGTTCATATAGTTGTCAGAGGAGCAGATGCAACACTTGCCCATACATTGATCATAGAATATCTGTTGGAGACCCTAAATCAACGTATTCTGTTAATCACTTTTCCACCTGTATGTCTAAATGTTTAAATGCAAGGCTACTAGAGAGCTATCTGTCCCTGAATTTGAAGTAATTAGACATAAGACAACTATTCAGTAACACTCACTTTCAACTTGTGGGCTTCTCATTACCTATGAAAAGTAGGATTGATATTCACATTATAATGGATGAAAGGACAAGCATGTTTGGTGATGCCATTTGAACCTGCAACCCATTGATTGCCCTATCCAACAGACATTATCAATTTGAACCTGCAACCCTTTGATTGTCCTATCCAACAGGCTCTATCAATTTAAAAACTCCAACCCATTGATTGCTCTATCCAACAGGCTCTGTCAGTTTGAGCCTGCAACCCTTTGATTGTCCTATCCAACAGGCTCTGTCAGTTTGAGCCTGCAACCCTTTGATTGTCCTATCCAACAGGCTCTATCAGTTTAAAAACCTGCAACCCATTGATTGCCCTATTCAAAAGGCTCTATCAGTTCAAACCTGCAACCCATTGATTGCCCTATCCAACAGACTTTATCAATTTCAACCTGCAACCCTTTGATTGCCCTATACAACAGAATCTATCAATTTCAACCTGCAACCCTTTGATTGCCCTATCCAACAGACTATCAATTTAAACCTGCAACCCATTGGTTGCCCTATCCAATAGACTCTATCAGTTAATTGAACAGGGGGGGATGTACATGATATGGTACAAACAACAGTATTATTAGGAATTCTTACATTGGATTTGTAGGTATAGTGTATAAAAAGGTGCTGAAGAATAATGTAATTGGATAATGTGAAAACATAACTAATATTTTACAGTGGAGTTTTGTTTACTGTAAAGTTTAACTGTGTGTTTCAGAGCCAGGAAGGTGACACAGATGAAGGAGAACTAAGTGTATATTGTGTAACTTGTTTAATGTAATATGTTATAGTGGAGTTTTGTTCACTGTAAAGTTTAACTGTGTGTTTCAGACCAAGGAAGGTGACACAGATGAAGGAGAACTAAGTGTATATTGTGTAACTTGTTTAATGTAATATGTTATACTGGAGTTTTGTTTACTGTAAAGTTTAACTGTGTGTTTCAGAGCCAGGAAGGTGACACAGATGAAGGTGAACTAAGTGTATATTGTGTAACTTGTTTAATGTAGCTAATATGTTATAGTGGAGTTTTGTTTACTGTAAAGTTTAACTGTGTGTTTCAGAGCCAGGAGGGTGACACTGATGAAGGAGAGCTAAGTGTGTATTGTGTAACTTGTGGCCATGAAATTGGAGCAAGAACAGCACTGAAGCACATGGAGAAATGTTTCAACAAGGTAATACGTTTACATTAAGTTTAAGGTGTTGTACTTCTTTCCATGTCAGTAATGTCTAATGCGTGATGAAATTGAAATGTGACTCTATTTTACAAAATACACAGCCAAGACAGGTCACTTTGTAAAGAGTAAAGGTCAGTTTTCTATTATTGCATACAATAATATGAGAGCTCGTGAGCTGCATCATTGTAATTTCTGTATTGTTAGCCAGGCACATCTTAAAGATCAATATAACAAAAATAATAAATATATACAAATGTATAATGTTATGAGATTTAAGATATTTAGTCTAAACATTTATGTTTTCATGTTATAATTTGTGTTCATTCTAGAATGAAGGAGGCATAATTTATATTATTTCCTAATTTTTTTATAGTGGTTACAAGATCAGTCAAATCTACCAAACCTGTACAGAAATTCCTTAGTTTTCAAACAATTCTGCCTCTGCACATTTTGTAGCTCTTATTTTCCACAACATGTATTACATAATGATGGTCATTTTCACACTGTCTAGGATTGAATATAAGGACTTTGTTCATGATGGCCAACTTGTAGTGGGTGGTATTATCTTACACGTAGTTTGGACCTTTTTCAGGTCTTGACACATATTTCTTTCCTTCTATAATTCCCATTCATAAAGTGTGGATTTTTGGCAGTAACATTTCTTCTCAAGTACGTTACCATCCTCCTATTCCTTATTATTCTTCAGTATGTTACCTTCCTCCTATTTCTTTTTATTCTTCAGTATGTTACCATCCTCCTATTTCTTATTATTCTTCAGTATGTTACCATCCTCCTATTCCTTATTATTCTTCAGTATGTTACCTTCCTTCTATTCATTATTATTCTTCAGTATGTTACCATCCTCCTATTCCTTATTATTCTTCAGTATGTTACCTTCCTTCTATTCCTT